TCAACACGTGTCCCAGTACATAAGTCGCTAGTAGAAATTCTGGTTTTTTTTTTATAGCACACTGCAATTGGTATGCTCCTAATGAAGCATCCTTATCAAGCTAAGCACAAACTTTGATAAACTATCAACTATTGCATCAAATAACTCGAGGAAAATAATTATTGAGTCATGTCGGTCTATCCATCTTGTTGGACATAACAGTTTCAAACGGTTATGGGACGATGAAGAATATACACGTCCTATTGATTCGGATAAAACATTATTTTTTTGCGGGTATTTAAAAAAAAATACAAATTCATGATGAGAGAAAAAACCGTTTTCGTAAATGTTAAATTGATAACATGGAATATCGATAGTCTAATAATCAATAATGATGTTATGTACACATTATTATATTGTTACGTATTATTTTTCAAATAAGAATGGCAAGGCTTGGGTCAATTCTCCTCATTGATAAGAGATAAAAATGATAAGAAAGCCTTTTATAATGATTAGGGCTCGGAACTTATTGCATGGAAAACTATGAAAATATGCATGCAAAAATGCATTAGATTATCATCAAAAATGCACAAAAATATGTAAAAAAAAAATGTTATATGCACTCAAATATGCAATTATTTTTTTTATTTTAAATGTATAGTAAAAATGTGTGAAAATAATTTATTCTTTAATAAAAATTTTAAAAATCTTAAAAAAATTGTATTTATATTATTAAAAGTGGCCGTCAGTTTTCTTCAAGGTTTTCTTTTAATGGCTCTGTAAAATAAAAAAAAAAATTTCTTTACTTATTATTTTTACTGATTATTTTATAAGTTATTTTACCTTGGAAATTACATTGAATAATTAAAGATTTTTTGATATTTTCGAACTTGAATGAACGTCGATTGAAAGTGAGTAAATTGTTGTATATTGAGAATGAACGTTCTATTTTAACTGATGTTATTGGATAGTTTTTAAAATATGTGAGATCATTTAAATTCAAATCTTCAAGTAAACCAGATGTGTCTTCTATTTTTTCATTTTAAATGTAAATTTACCTCCAAAAGCTTTATTATTGTTGGATAATTGCCCTGGACATCCATCAGCAGAAGAATTACGAAGTGATGATGGCAACATTTTTGCAATGTTTTTACCCCCTAATACTACAGCGCTTATTCAACCGATGGATCAAAATGTAATTCAGAATATTAAATTAAACTGTCGTAAGTCTCTCTTAGTCAATGTTCTTGGCTGATCCGGTGCATGGTGAAAACCTTATTGATGCTCTAAAGGCCATAAATTTAAAAGACGCAGTTTTTAGTCTTGCAAATTGTTGGAATTTGGTTCCGCCAATGCTCATAAAGAAATCGTGGAAACACTTCCTTTCCAAACAGAAAATAAAATCGACGAAGTTTTTGAAATTAATGACATTCAACTTTCTACACTCATAAACCAGATACAGGAAACATGTATGAATAAAATGTCTGATTTTCAAGCACAGGAATGGGCTTGCCGTGGCGCAGACGAAAATTTAGCGAATCATAAAATCTTAACTGATGATCAAATTCTACAAATTGCAGCAAAAGAGGATGATATTGACGACGAGGATGAAAGTGGTTCAATCAGTACAAGTAAAGTTTCTCCTTTAAAATCTGTGAGTGCACTGAATAGTGTATTGCAATGAGCGGAAGATGAGAACATGGATAGCACTAATATTTTGTTGGTACGTCGATTAAGAGAACTCGCTTTTGAAATGAAAATTAAAAGTACTATTCAGAAAAAAATTACCGATTATTATACTTAAGTTCTACATATTATAATAAACTTTTTTCTTTTTTTTTTGTAATTCATTAGTTTAGTTTTAATTTAAGTTGTTTATTATTCTTATAATTTAAAATGCATTTAATATAAAGATGGCGAAATTAAAAATATAATCTTAGTCATTTGAGTAGGTAATCTTGAGAAACCTCCGGTAATCCGGACGATGCTCGGTCTGAATTCGTCCGGACTATCGAGGCTCTACTGTATCTGATATTTTTAAAACTGTTTGATACCCTTTATTTTTTTTTTTTTTTTGATAAAATAGATTCAATCTTAATTCTTATTATTTTCCTCATTTCTCCATTAATTTGAATTAATTTTTCTTTGGCTTCTTCGATAATAGAAATTGAATCCATCAGTGGAATTTCTTGTTTTTCAAGTCTTGTTATTAAATCTGGTAAAAATCCAAAATTTGATTTTATGAATACTAGTTGTGCTTCAATATTTTGATCCGAGAGATACTTTTTTGAATTTTATTATTGAAACTGCATCATTGTCATCAAAATAATTGATGATTAATTTTATATGCTCAAAATTTTCACAGTAATAGCTGCCTTAATCCAAGTACCCCATCTTATCAAAATTGGTTCAGGTGGTAGAGATAATGATGAGGCTATTGATTTAAAATATTGAATGCGAGAAGGTGCTTTGCGGAAAATCTTTTTTACATTTGCGATAAGTTTGTCAACTTTTGGATATCCTGTTCGTACAATTTCTGCGATCCTATGAAATCCATGGGCCAAATACGTAACGTGTATAATTTTTGGATAAAATAATTTAATTGCTTCCCCAGCTTTTACCAAATAGGGAGTAGCGTCGCTTAGAAACAACAATACTTTATCGTGCTGAATACCGTTAGACCAAATTAAGTTCATTAATCTATCAAATAATTAGTAAATTGTAGAATGATTACATTTTTCCAGCTGCTCGGAATGTAAAAGAAAAATAATACAACTCCCAGTTTCATTTAAAATGCCAATTACAAAATTGGCTACATATCTACCTATGATATCGGTAGTTTCATTAATTGCATTTAAACAAATACCAATTGCATTTAAACAAATACCCAAATACATTTATTTTGAACATAATCCTTAATTTTTTTAATTTTATTTTCATGAATTTCATCAACATAATCTTTTCATAACGTTGACGTTGACACTGAAAAAAAGTTTGGAAACCACTGCATTAGATGAAAATGGTCGTTAATATAATTAATCATCTCAAATGACAATTCTCTAGACCAGTGATGTCCAACTTTTTTCCTCGGCTGGCTACTTTGGTAAATAATTTTCTTAAAGCGGGCCACCAAATATAAAAGTACGAACAATATTAATGTTAATCAAATAATGTTATTTTGTTACACATATTAGATATACAATATACATGTAGGTACATATTGAATTGGTTTTTAAATATTTTATTGACTACTGAAAAGATTACAGATTGAGGTTAGCTACCATTTACCTATCCTTCAGCTATGCCATTTATTTTAAGGTATTTATATAAAAATGGGAATAATAGTTTAAAAATGTATTTAAAAAAATACTAACTAAATATTTGTTTGGTCGCGAAATTCGGTTTAATGAACACGATTGATAAATCGACCTTTTTTTTGGGCTGGGTGCTATGCAATTAATTTTAAATTCATAAAAACATGTAATAGTGGACTGTAAGATTTATTGATATATACTATCGTCAAATAAATTTTGTACAAGAGAATAGCTTAACTTATGTTAGTCCTAACAAAATACAATTAATAATGTAAACAATAACACTAGTAAACAAATTAGTGAATAATATTGATAAAAACAGTGACAACAATATTTTTGATACGTCTGACCTGGTAATATCGTGGGAGTGGATTGTTATTGACATCAATCGACGCGTAACCAACAAATAGCGATGATCCCGACTCGGTATCATACAATATGACGAATGGCAAATATACATGTGAAACATTGCAGCATCGTCAAGATCCGCACAATGTCGAACGCCTATATCAAATCAGCTACATGCGGCGAACGGTAAATTTAACTACCACGTAACGCCCGCAATGGCGATTGTAAAAACTTAGAAAAAGAACGGCGACGACAGAAAAAACAATGTGTGCGACTTCGTGGTGGTTGTATAACGGCCGGCACATCATTTGTGCATGCGCACACAAACACTCTCGTTGCGATAGACAGCGCCTTATCAGTGTCACCAACCACTCTGCGTGGTGGGAATCGGATCGGGTCACAACAATATTTTTATATAACTAATAGTATTTAATTTTTTAGTACTACAGATTTTATTGGGTATCTTCTGAAATTATATTTTTATTATAAATTAGTAGATCAGAATAAATCTATACAATAATGCAAACCAAATACATCTGAATATTATAAAATGATTGAGTTGTTAAATTTAATTTATAAAGAGCAAATACAAAATCATGTTTTGTATGACCGCTTATTTTATAAAGTTAACCTAACCAAATTGAAAAAGCAATAAAACAATTAGGATTGATCAATAAATAATAAAAGAAATAAAAGAAATAATATTTCAACTGTTGTACTTAATTTTGACGATAATTTCATATCTTATTTATATCTTATCTTATAAAAAATTAGCAAATGTTTCTGAATATAGAAAAATGTTTATTAGATGATTCATTTGTTTCATTATTGGCCAATTGATTGTTTAATAACCATATAAAAAAATTATTTATATCATACTTAAAATTCTAGGAATGTTTTTTTATTTCTATTGGTGGAACATTTTCAACATTTTTTCTATGAAACCTGAGGCATATGTAGGTACACTATGATGTTCAACAAATTATTACTTCTTTATTTATTTCTATCCTGTGAATTACACCTCGTCCATTCTATACAATGGTTATCTTATCCAGCCACCATTATCGATTTGTAACGCATTTGCTAAATATATTAAAATATTTATTTCTTTAATATACAAAATTAAATGTAAAACGTATCCCGTAATCTGTAAAGTTTCCATTTCTAAACCGTACACTCCATTCTTGGAGCTGTACAATTCAAAGCTTACAGTTTATAACGTGATATAATATTCACCCCCGTGGTAGTGTGTAACAGTAGTAAGTTACTATAGCATCTCCTATAAATAAGCCGAATAATGTAAATTTTTTTAAAGTACATATTTATTTAAATATTAATTTGTGTTTGTGACCACATCATACTTTATATTCTTAATATTTTGCATTATTTTTTATTAGTTCTCTTAGTTTTTGGTTTTGGTTTTTCCTCTTCCTCATTTTCCTCTTCCTTATTTTCTTGTTTGTCGTCGTCCTGGTTTTCGTTGTCTCCAAACAGTCTCTTATTTATCTGTGTGGAAGCGGTCCTGGAAAATCTCATCGGTATGGCGAACGCATTTCTGCCCACACCGATCCAGTCACCGGCCATAGACATGGGTGAATTTATCGCGGTGCCGGCCATTTTCGTCGTGCTCTTCGTCAAGCCCGTTATCGCCCTCAACCCTTCATATGCCTGACTCCCTCCCTCTTTAGCGAGTTCCTTGGTGCTGTTCATCACATGTCTCGTCCCCCTCGTCAAGCCGTCTCCAGCATCCGAAACCATGCGGATACCATCGATGGTCACATCCTCCACGTTCCTCATCTGCTTCCCCATTAAGTCTCCTATCGCCTTCGTCTTTCTACTCATCATTTTCACCATGCCAGTTGATCCGTTCACTATGTCTGTTCCTCGGTTTTTGAATTCTTCCACTGTAGTTTTGCCTAGATTTCTAAAAGCATCCGTGGGATTGGTCGGCTGCTGTTGTGAATCTTGTCTGTTTTCGTTCTCATTTTCTTTTTCTTCTTCCGACGGTGGTGATGTAACTGACTTTTTCTTTTTCTTTGGATTATCACCCAAAGCTCGGGGCTTCACTCCCGATTGCGTTTCGTCGTTTGATGTTTCTGTTATAATCCTTTTTCGTATAGTTCGTTCTTCATTGACCATTCCCTGATTTAGAAACAATATAATATAATAATTTGTAGGAGAGTGCTAAGTGAGTAGTTCTAGTCCAGAGTCCCAAAATAATTCAACGGTAAATTTAAAATTTTAATTCAACGTACTCTATATTTGTACGAGTACGTAATGACAGTGTATAGAAAATAACGATTACATTCTCAACGATACATTCTCTCAAACCCTACCCCATGTCTAAATCCAGCATTAATACTAGCTGATGTACCCTCCACTACGTTATACTTTTTGAGAGCATTGTCCGAACATTGCTGCCGGAAAGTTTTTCAAAATCCATCTGAATAGTATAATGATGATTCGCGTGTTACAGGTGCAGAAAATAATTATACTACATGTATATAAACGCAGTATTTTTCTTAACGATTGCAGTATTATATCAGCCGTCAAATTACTGGTAACAATAATTGCAGTGAAACCTTTCAAAACCAGATACCAGATAGCAATTGAAACTTTATCATTTTAGGTATAGGGTAGAAACACACAGCGTTCGATTTTATTCGCGGGTAAGAATAATATAATCACATCTTAGCACTTAAAAAGAGCAACCCGTTGAATATAAGTATATCGTTATTTCAAAATATATGTAATATTTTGTACCTCCATATAATTTGATTATTTTTAACTATTTTTTTAAAATACTACTAACAATTCTTTGTAATAGAAAAACTTAATTTAACTCATTTCATACCTAATGAGAAAATAAAAACGGTTATTAAAGTATTTTATATTCTTACATCCATGTAAATAAAGTAGATAGGTTATCTGTTATCCTAAACTAGTCGAATTATTTTTGATTTTACATCTTATTTTATGAGATTAAATATTGATTTTTAATTGAAAAAACTACATTTGGTACTTCAAAGCGTAAGAAATACCCTTTATTAAACTGTTACATTGTTTTTGAATTAAGATGACTTAATTTTTTATTATTTTTACGAATTTTTAAAGGGTGTATCGTTTATATTAAGGATGGTTAGGCCGCAATACTAGAAAAACTCATAAGTGCGCAAAGGAATTAAAAAAAAATATTGTTATTAATATTATGTATCAAGTTAATAAATCACCGAACTTAACTTCATACATTTAGTTCTTAATTATAACCAGGGCTCATAAGTTCATGCATTTGCATATCAATTTTGCTAAGTTGTATTTAATGCTAGGTGATAAAGAAATCCATTTCAAGGTACCACGGTTAAGTATGTGAAATCTTGTTTTGCATATTTGGCATGTTTTTGTATATTTAGCATATTTCTGCATATTTCTATTTTATCGGGCATATTATACAACATTCTATTAGAATCTATCAAAAATTCAAATGGAAAATATAAATAAAATTAAAAATAGAAATTTTATTATCTTTTCTTTTGTTATCGTTTTGATACTCGTACATTTAATGAATAAATTAATTTCAAAAGTTTTAGATTTAAAATGAATTACTGACAAAGACGTACATTATACGCAGTTCACGAAAGCTTAAGGTATAGTATTAAATAATATCTATTTTTTTTTAAATGTTACATAAAAGAATGAAATATAGCTATAAAAAAATAAAAGGATAATTCATGTTATTTTAAAAATGATTAATGATTTTTTTAAATAAGAATTTTTTAAGTACATAATTTTAGATATTTAATTCATATAAATGCATATTTTTAACTTTTTAAGGCATATTTCAAAGCATATTTTGCCAATTTTAAGTGCATTAATGCATGCTTATTTAAGCACTTTTTAGGGCATGAACCCTGATTATAACTATATTTTAAGATTTTTCTAATATAACTAATATAACATCCAAATTTTTAAAATTTGAAACTTGTAAGTATTAGGTACTGAGGTACAAAATAGTTGAAAATTTCAGATCAATATGATTAAGTTTATTTAAGAAAAAAATGTAATTTACCTCTGCAGCTGACACTCCGTTGATAGAAAAATCTAAAATCTGAAAAATAACTATTTATTTTAATATTTCAACATTAATTGTTTTTTTTATATATAAATACACTTATGTAAAGATGTGCATCATTTGACTATATAACATGTCATAAATAATGATTCTTTCGATGCGCGCACAGAGAACACAATTCTAGTAATAAGGGCCTAATCTAACAATACACCATTGACATCTAAAGTAGATCAAATTTTCAAAGGATCCATCCAAGGTCCATTCCGACATACTTCCCTCCATAACAAGGATGCAAAATCTTTTTTCTCTCTCTTGCCCAAAGGTCGATAAGTCGTTAGTGTGTGCGTATTTAGCTCTTGGAAATATATGCGAACCGACCACCGGGACCCTTCAAGGAGTTTTTTGTAACAAGTTATTGCTACCTGTGATTATTTCACTTTTAATTTCACTTAACGATTTGAGTTATCTGTGCAAGTGTCGAAGTATCCAGTATCAGTTCACTAAATGCTGTGTCTATTTCACTTAAATTCAACCTCACATAACATCTAATTAGTCATAAACAGAGTTGAACCTAAATAAATACTTTTTTATCTAGATAAAAGTAAAGATAGTATACTAAAAATCGATTTAGATAGAGATACAAATGAACTCAACTAAAATTATTTTTTTAAAAAATAATCATAATTAATTTGGATAAAAAGCAGATAAATTTTTAAAAAACAATGATTTTATATTAAATTTTAAATTTAAAAAAAATTATCCGGCCTATCAAGAACAAAACATTTTATAATTTCTATTTTCCCTTTTTTTACTAAGTCTTCTCTTTTTCTTTTTGGATTATTCCAAAAAACATAAATATTTGTCAAACAAAATACAAGCACCATACAGTGAAAATGTATTGTTGCTCTTCGTTTCGTATTGGCTTTATATTAAATGATATAATGTTGTGTTTTTCGATAGAAAGCAATAAAATAACTTGGAGCTCAATTATTTATTATTGTTTTCTGTCATATTAAAGTTTGAAAGGACTTTGATATGATACAAAATAGGTGATGCAAATAGAACGTCAACTGACTGAAATCATGGTGGTAGTTTTTTCTGCCCATCCACAGATTATTTTAAACATATTTTTACAGTTTACCTGCTATTTGATTGGTTCTCAAATACGTTAGACGAACAATAGTGTTTTTGAATTGACGTGCTAAACTCAATATATTTATGATTGATGACATTGACGTTGGTTCTTTACGTGATATTTTGTTTAAAACAAGATTCTTTAAACAATAATAAACACAATCGTAACGTAACAAGTTGAAATAGTAGAAATCGATTTTACCATAGTTTTATTTTCATATGAACGAACTGCAATTTTAATCCAATATGATAATAACTAGTCATACTTATTCGAAATTAAAAATTATTTAATTAGTTATTTCAACATTTTTATTGAATAGTTTTAGAAAATATTCTGCGAAGAAAATTAATTAATTTTTTTATAATTTAAAATAAATGTATTGTGTGTAATTCAGTTTAGTTTATAATAATAATCATAGGTAAATCAATAAATTATTACCTGCAAAACGGTCACGACCGTACACATTATATACAACGTTCTCATTTTGAAATGTTTTGCCAAAACTTGAAAAAAAGTACTTCTAAATTTTTTCCTTCATTTCACTTAAGTATTTATACAACTTATGTTTAGTACATAATTGTCCCGTAGCACAATAATTATTAAACACGTGTCGTGTTTGGCAACATTTCAATTTGCTTTGTTATTTGTTTTTTATATTAATACACTGCTTTTAACATAACTCCTAATTCACCGACACGCAAAAACCCTACTAAATACCTATTGTATTGAAATAATGAAAAACGTGTCACATTGTATTTTCCAATTATTGTGTTGTTTTGGTGGTCTGTCAGTGGTAATTTAGTAATATTTTTCGAATCTAAAAAAAAAAAAAAAAACCCGTTTATTATTAGATAGTTAATTAAGTGTGAATCATTTTTAATAGACGTATGAACTGGAAAGCTGAGAAAAATTATAACTACAAAATTAGTAACTTTGTAATACAGTGGAATCCGCTTAATTGGGACACCGCTTAAAAGGGACAACCACTTAATGGGGACAAATTGGCATAGTCCCGAACGAATGTATTCCTTTAAGGCAATTTAACTTCGTATATTAGGGACAAGCCATCGGTTATAAGGGACAAAAATAAAAGTGTCTAACTAGATATTTTGATATTTTGTGTATATAAAATATAATAGAACCATTAAGATTACAGTTTCGATAAGAATATCGAACTAGATATTTTGATCGATATTCTTATCGAAACTGTAATCTTTATGATTCTATTATATTTTATATACACACGTTTATGTATAATACACATATTGGTAATGTGCGTAAATCTTACGTCAATTATGTCAATTATTTCTTTTTTTTTTAACTACCATGATATAAGTCCACTAGCCTACGTACAAAATCGAAAACTTTTAGTTCACGTTCTTTCGTCTCGGTGTATTAATGTATGTGCGTTTTTAGTGCGTTTCCCAGTTTGTGTTAATACGTAACAATTATGTCTCGTAAAGATTTAACATTAATCGAAAAAATTTCTATACTGGAAAAAATTAAGGCCCAACCTCATAGTACTAGTCTTCGTGAGTTGAAAAATAATAGGCACGTCTAAATCGGTACTAAGCCGATTAAAAAATAATGAAAAAGATATTCGAGAACAATATGAAAAATTAAATGACAACAAAAGTGCACCTGTAAATAGAAAAAGAAAACGAGAAGGCAAAGATCCCATAGTAGACAAAGCTATGAACGAATGGTTTTCTGCTGTTACAGAACGCGGTGTTCGTATTTTGGGCCCCATGTTACAACAGAAAGCTGAATTTTTTGCAGAAAAAATTGGACATAGTGATTTTAAGGCCACAGAAGGTTGGATAATTCGTTGGAAGGATCGGAATAATATTAAATTCAAGCGATTTCACGGAGAAAAATCAAGTGCTGATACAAACGGAGCTAATGAATGGTCTTTAGCTAAATTACCGGAAATTCTTAAAAATTTTTCTCCTCAGGACATTTATAATGCCGATGAAACTGGTTTATTCTACCGAGCGACTCCGGATGGTTCTTTGTGCTATAAACGTGAAACACTTGAGGGATCAAAAAAATCTATGGATCGTATAACAGTTTTATGTTGTTGTAATATGGCAGGCACAGATAAAAAAAACTGTTAATAATTGGAAAATCCGCAAAGCCAAGATGTTTTAAAAATATAAAAATAACAAACTTACCTGTTTCTTATTTAGCGAATAAAAATGCATGGATGACAGCAGAAATATTTACATCGTGGTTGAAAGACTGGGACAAAGAGCTTGGAAAACAATCAAGGAAAATTTTATTAACTGTTGATAATGCTGGACCACATCGAAACTTGATAGATTTAAAAAATATCACACTTGAATTTCTTCCTCCAAATACTACTTCTATCATTCAACCATTCGATATGGGGATCATTAAGAATTTAAAAACTCATTACCGTGGACTACTGGTAACATACATTTTAAAGGCTATTGAAAATAATTTAGTAACTCCATCTACATGTGCTATAGATATCAGTTCTAAAATAAACATTCTACAAGCAATACAATTTATCGCTGACAGCTGGAGAAAAGTGTCATCTGTTACGATTCAGCATTGTTTTGCACATTGCGGTTTCATACCACTGATTGATTTACCTATTCCTCCCATTTTTTCTATTGAAAATGACGTAATGCAATGCGTAGAAAATGGGGAGTTATTTATAAAAATTGATGATGGTATGCAGTGCTTCAATGACAATAAAAATTACGATAATATTCTTGATGAAATTGCTGAAAAAAGTCTGCAAAATGAAGAAAGCGATGACGATGACAACGTTCAGCCCGTCAAAATTACAACAAAAGAAGCAGAAAAGTGCATTGATCAGCTGAGACTATATTTTATACAAATTGAAAACGGAAATGTTCCAACAACTTCGTTAGACGTTTGTGCAGATTTTATCAATAAGCAAAGTCTTAATAAATTACAGCAAAAAAGAATGAACGATTTTCTGCAGCCTAACAAAATATAAATTAAGTATGTTAATCAATTAATGTATAATAAAATAATAATCTAATTAATTTACAATATAATAATACTAAATAGTAAATATAATATACTACTGCTAATAATAATGAAAATATGTAATTTTTAAATAAAGTATGAATTAAGTATGTATGTATGTATTTTTTAAATAAAGTTATTATGTATGTACATATATGCACTTTAATAGTTTCGGTTTATTAGTTATTCGGTTAATCGGGACAGTCGGATAATGGGGACAAATAGGCCACCGCCCAATGTGTCCCAATTAAGCGGATTCTACTGTATATCGCGTGGCGTATTGGTTTTAAAAAAACCACATCATTCGTGGGTGATACATGCGACACGATGAGACTACCGTTGGAAAGTGGTCCGAAAGTGGTCCGTCTGTGTTCGACTGCGTTTTTCATATTACCTTACATGTAATTAATATATCACCCACGAACGACCACCACTTTGTGGTTGTGGTGTGGTTTTAAAGTGGCCCATGTGTGTTTAGCCTAAAACATACGTAAATTGTGTCCCAGGTGTATTTGAAATGTACGTCAATTGCGGCCTGAGATATTCCGATTTCCGGTCGGCTGTACAATTTAAAGATAAGTATTAATCTCTGATTGATCGATATAGATTATAATAATATGTTCACTAATATAATATATTACTAGCAACCAGTGTGTATTTGATCGAAGACCTTACGCTTGAGGTTTTACGTTGCTCTACAATCTATATGCAGCAAAGGCGGACATAGGCTTAGCCCCCCCCCCAAATATTTTAATAGCAATTCCAAAATCGAAACTTTGTTAAAAATGTTATTAATTGTTTTTTTTTATTATCTGTTCGTTTTTTCGAAATCGTAAAATAAGAAATAATAAAAAACTATTTACAATAGCATTAACAATAACGAATTAGTTGGGCTACTTGTTAAAGAAGTTTCGGTGCAATGAAAAAAATAAAAACTTGGCTAAGGACATCGTTTGTTCAAGATAGATTCAGTGATCTTTTAATACTATATATTCAAAAATACAAAAAGTGATGATATTTTGAATATTTTTGCGGATATAAAGAGATATTTGTTATTAAAATAAAATATTAATTATTTTTAAATATACGTTATTTAGGGCTTTTTTTTTAATAAAACATAATAAGATACAATATATAATATACAATAAAATGAACATATCTATATTTTTAACAGTAATAAGTTTTGTAATAAGCATGGAAAGGGGGTGTGGAGGCGAAACCCCTGTGGGTTATTTTACATTGAATTATTATAGCCTCCCCAAAATTTCAACCAAATGTGCGCCTATGATATGCAATCTACAGTTTACATTTTTTTTTCAATTTAATAAAAATGTACGTTATAAAAAGCGAAAGGAATAAAACGTTGAAAATAGTTGATGGTTTCAAATTTCGTTTTCACAAAATGCTAAAAAATGATATCAGCGCTGGTGTTGCACAGTTAACACGTGTAAGTATTTTTTGAAATTTAATGATAGTAATATTTGTATGGATAGTTTTAAAGATTATACAAGTCATTTGAAAATTTCGGAACAAATAATAAATCGACAGCAACTTAACAACAGTTTAAAATAAAAGCCGTTGATGATATGTTTACTAGGCCATATAAAATTATTCATTCTGAATTAAAAAATGCTGATGTCGAATCTTTAACTACTCAAGACGTATAGTTGATTAAACGTAATTATTACTTATAAATAAAAAATATTTGAGTAGGTAATAAAAATTATATCCAGACCACAATTTACGTATGTATAAAATATACCCAGGTCGCAATTAACGTACATATAAAATCTAGCCAGACCACAGTTTACGTATGTACAAAATATGCCCGGGCCGCAATATACATAAAAAATTAAAAATAGGCCGCAATTTACAGCGATCCACTCGGTTCACGGTCTTCCCACGCGTATTCGATGAATATACATAAGCTGCTCCCCGATAAATAAAGGTGCCGATGACATATATAAGTCGCGGTCCATATTTTCAGTTACCTAAATAAATTGCGAACCATGTTTCTGCCCGTACATAAACCATTTGTCTTTCTATTCAAGTGATGGGGTGTAGATTCCACATAGGGATAAATTGGTGCAAAAAATTCAACAATTATTAATATCTATTTTCTTAATTAATTAATATATGATACAATAGTTATTTCAATACTGTATAAAGTAATTTTTGACACCTCTTTTTCGGACTTAACTTTTTAAATTCTACAATATGTTGAAAACTGTACTACAGAAGACCTCATGTTAACACATCCACAAGATGCTTGAGTATTAGAACCTGCAGGCTATATATTAGAATCGTATATAAATCAATAACGATGAATTTCTACATGAATACAAGAATTAACCATCGAAAATACACACGACAAACAATTGTGAAACATTTCGTAAATTATTAAATAGTTCATTTCATTTTCTTGACCTAAATATTTTTAATTTTATAATCATTTAAAAAATATATAAGAAGTATGAAACTTATATAGCGGTAAGAAGTCAGGACTCAAGAAACAGAATAACGATGGAAATAGAAGAATACACCTATATGTAAGAAAAAAAAATTAGGAGAATTAGAAACGAAAAAAATTACTCGGCCCAAATTTTTATTCCATTCAACATGGACATAAAATAAATAGTATATAGATTAATAATCAACTAGTAAAAAAAAAAAAAAAAAATCAATAAAAGTAATAATAAATACGAGACGCAATTTACATCAAAAAAGTAAATTAGGAAATTGGAGTTAGCTGGCTACTACGTTAGTTTCTTCTCCCGAACGGTATATTTGTGTTACGTACAATGTGAACAGGACAGATTCATAATGATGTTCTACTAGCTGTTGTTCGATAGTTTACGGAGCCATAAGGTAAGCGCGAGGAATCAATGATTTCCGTACTTGTAATAGACCACGAATTCCTCTCCGTGACCTGGTAATCGATAAAAAGATGCGTACGCATTTGCGGAACATGCGACTGCAACGCGTTTCGTGTTAAGTTGACGAACGCATCGACGGACTTGCATCATATTTATGCAACAATCGGCCAACTGCTGGTATTTCAATCAAAGAACGGGTTACGAATTTTATTCACGCGTTCGCGAAAATAAATTTGAAACAAAACATCCGTCGTTGCATTGACGATGTTCTTGACGATTGAAAATAGTAAACATTAGTTGATTTTTATAATCTACCCATAAAGTCGACTTTTATCAAAACTTTTTGATTCACACAACGTTTGAGAGATTAGAGTCTATGTACCCAGTGTTGGGAGGAAACGCCTTAGGAACGAAGTTGGGAACGCGTTCCTTTTCACATATTGGAACAAGAAAACGGGAAAGAGTTCCTATTTTCGAGAAACTTGAACGAACATGTTCGTTCCTCAAATTGTGAAAAGGAAAAAAAACATTTTTTTTTTTTATAATAATATTTTCTAAAGTATAAAATTATTTAATGTCAGTTATTTGGTCAGTACATTAATAAATTGCCACAAACTCAAACTCAGGACGTATCGTGAATATATTAAATCTTTTACCTTAATTATTTGGAGATTAGCATACAAGATGTAATATGTTAATGTATATCACGGTTGAATAACTGTGATATAAACGATGTTACCACGGGGTGAACACCTTTGGGTGGCGGACCGATAAGAGAGAAATTTACCTTCAATGTTGAATTAACTACTTATCAGAAAAAGGATTGAACATTAAAATTAATCGATTATTTTTAGTTAAAAAGTAATCCACAAAAAAACACCATTGGCAATAACTCAAATAATACAAAAAAAAATTAAAGGAATTGGGAAAACGTTGAGAAACAGGAACAAGTATCTTTTTTACATCAATAACGAAGAACGGGAACGAGTTTCTTATTTACAACAAGAACAAGGAACAGGAACGAGTTCCTTTTTAAAAAAAACTTTCCCAACACTGATATAAATGTACCATACTAAAGAAATATTATAGAATCATTTTAATTAAGATAATTTTAATAAAGTATTGAAGAAATATTTTTGGGTTTCCATTTCTTATAACATATCAGCTTGTTCATCAATAACAGTATCATCCAATAAGTGTCTTTAAAGCTAAGAAAATTTAAATATGTACAGCAGCAGCTATCTGAGTAGACATGTTAAGTTAATTCCTAAAACCGTACATTTGAGATGAAATACAGAACAAAACCGCAACATTTTTTAAATTTTTATATCCTAAAACTGCACGCTTATGATTTCAATCCCAATTATTATTTATTGAAGTATAAAAATTAAAATGTTATAACTTTTAAAATATTAATTTAAAAAAAAAAACATTTAAGCAAATGCTCCTTAAAATGAGTATAATTAAGCTAAAAATAAAAGGAAAAAAATAATTCCGACTCCATCCGCGTATAGTTATAATTTCATTTTGTTTATGTCCATTGGTGAATTTTTTTGTTTTGACAGGTTAAAATATCGCAATTTAAAAAAAAAAAGTTTAGAGCATCTTTCAAACTTTTCGGTAAAACTGGTAAAAGTTTCCTACGTTCATAATATATAGACATCCTAATTAAACTTACGTCATTGCTTTCTATAATTGTATTATTTTCTACAGATGACACATCCTTGCAAATTGTTTTTTGATATTTTTCACGAATGTTATTAGAAGCCTTGTGTTTACATTCATTACGTACATCTTGTATTTGAATTTTCACTATTTTTACCGGTTCATGTTTATATGCGTTTTTAGTTTTTAGAATATTCTTCATTAGACTGCATGTTATAACCGTGGACGTTCAGTTTTTAATAAAACATCGCTAAACCATACTTCCACAGTTACACACTCTAAATTTTCTTTACTTAAAACCGTCAAATAATAAACACTTGCTTTTATAACTCAATAATTTTAATATCCAGTAGAAAAATGCACTTATGTTTTAACTACTGTATAGGTATGAATGTTATCAGAAATGTTATAATTTATGAAATTATGA